CTTGTTCTATTAAAAACATAACACACACATTCATAAGACACACGGCTGAGACACATGTTATTACCAAGTATAAATGCTGATCTGTCTCAGCTGACCACTTGTGAACGGATCACCCAAGACGATATTAACATCGGAAGCAGAGCATCCACTGTTGGAAAGGTCAGGATCGAGATGATGACCTCTCCAAGACTGTGCTGCTGAATGTGGAATTAGGGTATTCCATATTTATGCTCATACAATGTTCTAGTTATGAAACTGCTATGGAAATTGTTCAGATTTTAAAAAAGTGACTATTATTTGCTTGTGATTGTGTAGGTTCAATTCTTGAATGTGTTATTTTGCTTTAAAATGTGCCAGATCACAACTCACAACACTGCATTCTCAGCACTGCCACAAGAGTCACAGCGACGGTTAACACAGACTGACTTTTATGGTCTTTTTTCTCTTTCAGTTCTACTACTGTGATGGTTGAGCAGCAGTTGAAAGATTATCTTCAAAATGTTGCTCTGCTATGTCAGTAGTTGACCTTTACGTAACAAAGTGTTTATGTAACGTGCTTACTTGTTCATCTTTTAGATTCTTAAGTTCTCTTCAACTTAAAGTTACCGTCAGCATGTTTATAGCTAGCTACCTGAATCATAATGCATCAAGTTTAATGGCACAAATATTAAGGGAACTCTATTGCCCCCTTGATTACTGGAGTAGGTCACTGATACGCAAAAATGCACATTAAATGTGCATGTCAACATGCTTGCAATGCATTAGCCAAGTATTCGCATCAGTGTTTGCCCTTGTGAAAAATTATGTTTAGTTGAACTGAATGTGCACTTGTAGTGTACTTCAAAACTTAAAACTAAAACAAATATACTTGCAGATAATGTAATAGTAAGGAAACAAAAGGCCACTTAGTGTACTTAAAGAGAGTACACTTTCATTACTATGTTTCTTAACACACCTAAGCACACTCTGTAATAATGTCAAATTTGTACATTTTAAAACAAATTTTTAAAACAATTTAAAAAGCATTGTTTAATAATCTTTTATCGTATTATTTATTAAGTACACTTAATTTAGTGTGTTTACTAACATACTAAACACACGTAAAGTACTTGATTTAACTGTAGTGTTATTCAGTTTATAGTACATCAACTTCATTGTTACAAATATGTAATTGCAAATCTATTTTAATACAATACATACACATCTCAAAGTATATTTTAGTTTTGATGCTTGTCAGTATATTCGGCCGTGCACTTTATTATTATGAAATTACATATGATGAAAGATGATGTGCAATTAACATGCAATTAAGTATTCAAAAACATTATATTCAGTGCACTTAAGTTTATTCTTTTAAAATATATAATTTTTGTAACAGCATCACCTGGTCTTAATATTCTGGATAATACATAGTATACATGATAACACCATGTTTTTCCACTACTATGATGCAATACCATGGTATTATGAACTATCACATCATATGGACATGAACATATGAGTTTTTGTAAGTACATGAAAATCGTTCAGTATCATGCTATTTTGAAAGCACCATGATATTACAATTTGACGCCGCCGTCACTGTCCCATGGTGCACCAATCCCTAAACCACTGTCCTGACACTCTCAATGCAATCACCTTCTGGACTGCTTCAAAGTCAGCCACTGTGTTTAATGCTAATGGTTTCTGGAGGGCATCTGAGGAGAGATTTGTGGGTAAATAAAGCCGCACTGAGTGTGCCCTGTCCAATAAACATCTTACAGGAGCCATTTGTCACTACAGCAACCCCAGAGTGCCCCTGCCCTCACGGCCTGATTGATCAGTTCTGTGCAGTAAACAGCGCTGAGCTCTCCATCACTTTGCCCAGGGAGGAAACTGCTTTGTCAGCGGCCTCATGGTTTCCTCCTGCCAGTCAACAGCCGAGAGGAGGAGCCGATCAATGGTGGGAAGCTGAACCATACATTACAGTGATGAAGAACCAGTACTAAGTCTTAAAGGGGCATTTTGGTGCAACAAAAATACATTCTGAAATGTTTTGTAAGAGAAACAAGTTACTTTTAAAAGTAATGCATTACAATATTGTGTTACTCCCTAAAAAGTAACTAATTGTGATACTTAGTTGATTTTTATAGAAAGTAATGTGTTATGTTACTTTTTCTCATCTGGGCTAGGCTTGCTTGTTTGTTTTTAATATAAAATAATTCTATTTTTGGCACAAGTAAAAGCCCTTTCACACCAAAAGTGAAATGAATAAGCCTCAGGCTGAAGGAAATGTAAATTCATGTCTGTACAGTAGAAAGCACAGCTCAAACAAACGTTACAGCTGTGCTGCCATTCTGGATTGCATGAAGAATAGGACGCAATATAAGAAAGTTTAACACTCTTCAGCAATTAAAAAAAAAAAGAGTTATGTTTATCTAGTCATATTTGCTTATTAGTATGGTTGAATTGGATCATCGAAGGTCAGCACTTAAAGACATTGGTTAATAAAACGGGATGAAGAGCGTTTAAGCTCGAAACGTCACCTGTGGTGAGAACATAATTAAATACTCCTCTATCTCTGGAGCTGTGGTGTGCCTACTTTGATGTTTTCTTTCTTAATAAAACGGGATAAAATACTTAAAGGATATTTGTGTTATTTACCATATCTAATTATTGCAGGTTTGTGTCATATTCTAAGTTTGCATTTCACTGATATTTAATGATTTTGAGGAATACTGAATCTGTTTTTGTGCAGGTGAGATGAGTAAATGCATATTCACATTTAGTCTAGAACTACAGTACAATCATGTTCACACAGCGCACACAACGTCACTGCACTTATGCTGCGTTCAAGTCCTCCTGGGATGTTCGTACTTACGAGTTGACAAGTCGTAATTACGACGTCAGGTGCGTTCAAGTCAGTTTAGTCAGCACAAGATGGCAGTGTACCTTCTTTTAATAAATTACAAGAAAATACAACAGGGTCTGTTAACTCCTCTTATAGAAAATGAAGAGCAAAAAATTTGCATCAGGTGTGTTTTGCGTTTTTAATATTTTTAAAAAGTAATTTATGAAGCCACTTTAATCTGTATCGCATCAAAACTTCATAAAAACTATCAATTTAAACAAAAATTTACCGTTAGACGTTGCATCCATCGATTCCGCCATGTTTCTCATTGACACGCCCACAACTCGGAAACTCGGGG